AAATAAATTTAAAAAAGAAAATTGGACTTTTCAAGTGTCCAAATAAATTTTTATTTTTTTGTCGCTGTTTTATTTAAATACTCCAAACCTTTATTAAAAAATAAGAACAAAAACAAGAAAATTAATCTACAATAAGTAAAAAAAAAAATTTTATATTTTTTTCATGTTCCTGTTATCTTATCTCACTTGGCATTTTTCTCTAGGGCACAAGTCATGAAATATCCTGTATACATATTTGACTCAATACAATACAAAAAATTGTTGAAATTGTCAAAAACAATTATTTTCAAAATTTGATAGTAAAATATTTAAAGCTAAAAATTTTAATTTGATAAATTTACATAAAAAAAAGAAATAAAAATGAAAGAATGACAAGAAGAAAATGAAAGAACGGACAATTTTTGAGTTTGAGTATACTTTGAACCAAAATTTCAAGATTTTTTATAAATTTTAAATAATGTTAAATAATAAGAAAAATGTAAATATTTGTAATTGTGGAAAATAATTGCAACCAACTATTACGAGAATTATCCTTGTAGTTTCATTGAACCACGCAAAATTAAAATATTGTGATAAGAGTGTTACAAGTTCGAAGTTTATCAATGACTAGTGTTTAAAAGCGAGGTCAAAGCAGCCCCAACCACAAAATGCCTCCAAGATCGGAAGTGTTCCCAGTGTCCTCTTTAAAAATCACACCGCCCCCAAACCGGAGTCCGGCCCAAAACGGCGCTTTATGGCTCAAAGACAAACAAATCACCGATGGGGCGGAGGGCCTTTGGCGCGTCCACGACGGCTTGTACGACCTTAGTACCTTCATCCGGAGCCACCCCGGAGGCCCGGAATGGCTCGAATTGACCAAAGTAAGTCATCAAAATGAAAAAAATTCGATTTTGAGGCGGTTTTAGGGCACTGATATTACCGAAGCCTTCGAAGTTCATCACTTGATGTCAACGCCCGAGAAAACTTTGAAGAAATATTTTGTTAGAAATGCGAAAACGAAGCGTAATTCGCCGTTTACGTTCAAGGATGATGGGTTTTATCGGACTTTAAAACGCGAAGTTGCCTCAATTGTCAAAACTTTGCCGAAACAACCGATCAATAATTCGGCTACTTTTACGGATTTTCTGCTAGCAGGGACTTTTATGTTTGCGGTTTTGGCTAACACCTACTGGAATTATTACCTTGCGATAATTGCCGGAGTATTTCTCGGGTGTTTGGTTATTGCAGCACACAATTATTTCCACAAGAAGGATAATTTCAGAATGCTCTATTTCAACCTTTCTTTAATGCAAACAAGGTAATTCTAATTAGTTTTTTCATTATTTCTATGAAAAAGTTGCAATACACACATTTCACTCAAAAAATTAAAAACCGTTAAAATTGTGACAAATTTAAGCGTTTAAAACTGCAACTCTTAATTACAAAAATTTTAATAAAAAAGAAAAATTGAGTTTTCAAGTCAAAATTCCTAGTTCACAAATTCAAATGTGAGTAGTAAAATAGTTTTTAAGTCACGATTCTAGTAGAAATTGCAAATAAAAATGAGAATCGGATTTGTAGGTTCATATAAAATTAATTCTTAGTTTACACATATGAAACTTTGAAAATTCCATGTTAAAATCAAAAATTTTGAACTTAGTGCTCCAAATTTCAAATTTAAAAGCTTGAATTTATAGTGGTTTAAAATTTTTTAATCAAAATTTTGGGTTTAAATGTTTAGAATCCAAAAATTTTGAGTTAAAAAGTTTGTTGTTGAGTTTGTTTTTGAATTTGTTTTTTCGTAAAGACAAAAATTGCAAGTTTAAAAAAAAATTCGTTTTAAATCTTTAAAACTTTGAAAGTTCCATGTTGAAAACCAAAATTTTGAACTTAGTGCTCGAAATTTTTGAATTTTAAAGCTTGAATTCCCAGTAGTTTACAATTTTTAAGTAAAAATGTTGGGTTTATTTATAAATTATGAAACTTCAATTCTGAGTTTGTTAAAACTCCACCAAAATTCCGAAATATTTATGTAAGCGTTCATTTTAATAAAGATAAATAAGAATTCCATGTTTATGAAACAATATGAGAAAAAAACCGTAAAATTTTATATTAAAATTAATACTTAATAAAAAAGTCAAAAACCAAAAAATACAATAGGGTAAAAATGTTTTATTTAAAAAAAATGTAAAGCAAAATTCCGAGTTTTTAAAAAAATTCCTAGTTTTGGTTTGAAAAATTTCTGTTTTTTTCTTTAAAAACAAAAATATTCTCGGTTTAAGTTTTAGTTTTAATATTAAAAATCAAAATTCCGCAATTATTTATGTAAGCATTTTCTTAAAAAAAAATTAAAATTCCATGTTTATGAGACAATTCTTGTGTGCGAAATTAAATTTAAAAAAGTTTAAAATCAAATGTAGAACTAAAATCATTGAGAATAATTTAAATAAATATATAAAATTCTACACCAATATAATCAAAAAAGTAAAAAATTTCCAGTCAAACTGTCAAAACAAATTCTGAAAATCAAAATTATTCTTAGTACACATTTGAAATTTTGAAAATTTCCAGTTGAAAACCAAAATCTTGAAATTTAAAGCTTCGAGTTACATCAGTCAAACATTTATTTATTTTTTTTATTTTATTATTATTTTTAACTGTAAAATCTAATCAGTGGTATAATTTCGGCCACAAATATTTTCCTTTAGATAAACTCTTATCAACGCAAACTTTCCAGAGAATGGCGCATCAGTCACGTGCTCAGCCACCACTTGCACACCAACACCATCGACGACATGGAAATCACCATGAACGAGCCCCTCCTCCCCTTCCTCCCCCACGAGAAGCCCCCTTTTATCAAATTCGGCTACTACTACCTCTTCTTCCCCATTTACTGGCTCACTGCTTGGCACACAAACTTCCTCAAAAGGGTCTCCTACATCATCAAGGGTGACACCCACCTCATCCAATGGTACGATTTCGTACCATACACCCTCCCATTGACCATGTACCTAATTAGTGGTCAGTCTTTTTTCGCGACCTTATGGATGTGGACAGTGATTGTCGGAATTGGAAGTTTCCACTTCTCGGCAGTGGGTCTCAACGCCGCCCATCACCACCCAGATATCTTCCACGACGGGGATGCCCCACGGCAAGTCCACCAACCATGATAACCGACCCATAATAACCCATTTTCAGGTCCGACACCGACTACGATTGGGGTTTGAGTCAATTAGACGCGATTATGGACCGAAATGAAATCACAGGATCACATTTTTTGGTCCTTACGAATTTCGGAGACCATGCTTTGCACCACATGTTCCCAACTCTAGATCATGGGACTTTAGAGTTGTTGTATCCAGTTTTAAAAAAAGTTTGCAAGGAATTCAACGTCGATTTGAGGATGACCTCGCAACTAGAATTGATCAAAGGGTCCTTCATGCAAGTTATGAGGACTGAACCCAACCCAAACCCCCCAGATTTACTAAACAAATACCAAACGATATGCAATCAGTAAAACAATCATTTAAAAAAGTAAAAATACAAAGTGCAATAATTACAACTGTTATTTAATAAATATTTAAAGTGATTTGTACCATAATAAAACTAAAAAATCTTAGATTTTGTGTTTTTTTTTCAATTTATAAAAAATTATACGGTATACAATTAGTGAA